ATGTAACATTAGGGCAAAATAACGAAGGTTTGGTTAAATAATCCAACAGACAAATGAAAATAACAATACACTTTACACATATACGTATGCTTTTAAAGACCCTATGATTCATAGGCATATTTGCTTTCATACAGCCTGTGATTAATGAATTAGTCTGATATATTGGTCACTACCAACGCTGGCACACAGAGAAATTGGGTTTGAGTTATGAGGTGCTGAACTCTTAAAACACATCAGGATATGAGCAGCATTAAAGCTATCAGCACTGTTTCAGAGCACCATTTGTTAGAAAACCTCAGAGTGAGAAGCAGTAATCTGATTCCCAGGCAGAGCAGCAACTCAAATACAGTATCTGGAGAAGCTCTGTAGTCAAATTAACTTGTTTTGAAATAAATAATTGATGGGGCAGAGAAATGATGAGGTGGACTTCTACTCAGCAGGCAAAAAGTGATTACCAGGGATAATGATTATTTGACGAACAAGTAACATACTCAAAAAATATGCTGAGAGCTCCAGAAATCACTGACTGAGGAGCAGAGTTGGCAGCGACAGCGGTGCGAGCTGGGAAACGCTGCTGGATTCCAGTATGTGTGTGAACACGTGACTTTCTGTTGGAACACCTCTCTGTGGACCTGAAACTACGGTTAAACTGTGTACCATTACATTTTGTGCTCAAATCTGACTCAAACATCTTGAAACTGCATCTTTCTGAAGTTATGACATCAGTAAATGATTAATGAAGTGACTGTTTTTGTTAAGTGATTAAGTTGTTTTCACCTGTTTGTGCTGCATCATTAGTAAACTCATGTTAAAGGTTTAGTTAAAAAGTTTGACATTTTGGAAAAGATACTTTCTTGTCTCACACTGCAGGCAAAAGTGACTCAATTCAGATTTTTTTTCCTCATGTGTGACTAGGATCAGTTTATTTCATAACAGTGTGAGCAGCAAAAATCAGTCTGATTTTTTGGGTCGCTTTCATATGTGGTCTAAATCAGATAGAGGTCTGTTTTTTGCAATTTGATCTCAGTGTGAACAGTCATATGACTTTTACGTCACTATAGATTGACATTCATCAAAATTCTGCACTGGTGGGATTCATTTGGTGAATTCAAACACAGCTGCGATGGAGGAGACAACACCTCCGTACAGAGATAGCAGCCATTGCTCCAAACAAAGGCATTATTTAATCATCGTCCTCACTGCACATCATTCATTATAAATAAAACCACACACGTTGCCTTCAGTGGCCTTCATGTTTACTTCCAGCAGCCGACAGGCTTAGTTTGAGGTCAGGGGAGGTAACAACTTAAACAACTTAAACAACCTGAGTGTGGGAGGTGCAGAGCAAATGTCAGGTGACTCATTGATTTCAATTGTTAATGTGAAACTTCCTAATATGTAGTTTGTACACGCAGAGATATTTTCTTTGGAGGTTTATGGACATTACTGACTCACTGAACCTCCAGAACCTATTTGACCTTCTGTGAACTGTGGAAAATGCTTTGATAAATCTGACTCTTGTGAATACACAAACACACACACAATGACACACACTCACACACACACACACACACACACACACACACACACACACACACACACACACACACACACACACACACACACACACATCAGCAGCACCATCAACAGATGCTATAATGCTTTCATTTCTATTGGACAACTCTCTTCTGGAAACACAATACACTTCCTGGCAAAACACTTTTAATCTGATACGTAAATCGTTTTATCTGCTCAGAACTCAGAGCAGCAGTAAGGCTGTTTATTTTTTGGAAAACTTCACTTCCTATTGAAAAAGCAAAACATAGATCTGTATATCTATCCATATATCTGTGTCTGATTGGCTTGTTGTCTGATAGGTCATTTCATGTGGTTACATTTTTCCTAGTGGTGTGGGTATTATATAATAGTGGCGATCAAAGTAACCAATTAGCTGCTGATTTCATGGGAACTTGCTGGTGTACATAATTCTGCTTTAAAATCTTTGAAATAAGTCGTTCTACATATATTGTATATTTTTGCGGGATTAGACAGAGTCAGGAGGGTGACTAATTCCTAGCCTGGAGCTGTTCACATTGCAGTCCTCTATACCAGGCTGAACACCCGGCCAGGCTGCTCTGAGCTGGGTTGCAACACAAGATACTTCAGAAAATGTTAGTAGATTCAAACATAGATGTGATAATGAAACAAAACAAAACATTGATTTTGAGTTTATATGTTTCACTGATTTTATGTTTTGTTGCAGCATCGTGGTCAGGTTTCCCTAACTTAATAAATAGTTAATTAAAATAAGATAGATTAGAATACATTCATCATTTACATTTTATTAGAATACATTTAAAAAATAAACTATATACTTAATAAAATGCCAATAGTTAAAGAAAGAGTTAAAGGGTCAGTTTACTCAAATTACAAAAACATAATTTCTTATTTACCTTTAATAGTATCCAAAATGCAAATCATCTAAAACTTCAATTAATCGCCTTAATAGCTTCAATCACTGAACTCAACCTGCCTTTATTTGGAACAGGTGTCTATATGGGACAGGCCTTACATTTTTTTTGCTCAGCAAAGTGAATACTATCAAATTGTTTATTTAAACCAGTATGAATATTACTTGTATAAAACAAATATAACATATCAATTATGAATCATAGATCATTTGATACTTTGGTGCTAATGGTTTCCGTAAAATGAACTGAATGATCAGGTCCAATTTTATTTCTATAGCACATATTCATAACAAAAGTTATCTCAAGACACTTTTCAAATAGAGTAGGTCTAGACTGTACTCGTTAATTATTTTTTTTACAGAGAACAAACAGTTCCCACCACGTGCAAGCACTCGGCGACATTGGCAAGGAAAAACTTCCTTTTAAGCAGTATCTAAGCATCTCATAATTTGCTCAAGCAGGCAAACTGGATCTTAAGAGGTTTTGTACATCCAAAGAATTTCTATAAAATCCAGACCAGGAATCTAACTGAGACCTGTGCTTGTCAAACATGTAGCCACACCGGGCAAGTAACAGGGACCTGAGTCTAATTGGGACGCTGATTTTAATTAAAGTTTTACTGTAGTTATGCAAATAGGTGTTGAGATATCTGTTCTGAGACACAACCTTAATACAATGAAGGTGAATGGAATTAAAATGATCAAAAACAGTGCCCCTGTTGCTCTGGATAATCCATAGACGTCACTGTGTGAACAGCTTTCTTTGGCACTACATTCTACAGACAAAATAGTCCCAATCAAAACGGTCTGTGGTAACAGCAGAAATCTCAGGTCCTGGGAAAATAAAAGCAAAAATATCTGCTTATATTTTTGTACCCTTTAAGCTTTCAAATTCATCACCAAACAAGGAATCCTTTAGGACATTAGCAATAAGATCATACGGCTTCATGGGCGTCACGGCTACAAAGGAGGATCTTCGCACTAATGTGAGAGAAACTGCTCCAAACGCACTGTAGTGGGGGATCATGTTTTCTTACATTTCACTCTCATTCTCTTCATCACTCGAGGGGAAGAAGCACAGACTCTTATACCACCATAAGACGTTCATCAGTTCCTGCATCAGTTCCGCTTTGGCTCTGGCATCTCTCCAGACTGGGATTGTCTAGTGTCCTTTTCAACTGAGGGTGACAGCAGGCGTGGAGGAACAGCAGGTGTTTTCTGCTGTTTATCAATAAGCACAGAGGGGACAGGGTGCAGAGTGTCACTGACGGACCCTGTTGATATACAGCAGCTTCACAGGTTCTCTCCTGTTGTAACAACATACGTCAAGTTGTATATGACTTAGGATCCACCTCCAATCTTAACATATCCAACAAAATAACCCTCATTTACTACTGATTGTTTGAAAAGACTTGTGTTAGACTTGTTTTTAAGAGTTCAGAGAGGCTGCTGACATTAAATATCAGCCTCACTGTTTATCCATTTATACATTTAATGAGGTACAACAGACTCTGGTGAGAAAGAGAATATGATTGCCAAGAGGTGGAGGGCTTACTCCATGCGTCACAGAGTCCCACTGTACAATCCCATTTTTAACAATTTAATGCAATTAATGTCTGTTGTTCCCAGAGAATACTCTGACACTCTGTCTTTCTGCAATGTGTTTGGCTAAGCCACTGCATTGCTTGTTCAAGCTTAATTGCAATGAACTGGAGCCTTAGATTGTGTTTATTGTTTCAGGAGAGACGCTCTCTCGGCCAGGTCTACTTCCTGAGACCCTGATTTTTTTCCATCAGACTAAGACTCTGTTTTTCTCTGTTTCTGTGTATGTCTGGCATTAGCTATTGGACACATTACCAAGAGACTTTTTTTTTTTACAATTATTAATTTCTCTAAATCTTAATTTTTATGTAACTTTACCCCAGAGTGTAAAGTTTTCGTTTATTTTTCTATAAACTTTGGAAAAGTGCTCTTCTCAGGGCCGTTTGTCTGTGCTAATGGGGGTCATGAGATGATCTCACCAAACCTTAGCAGGGGGGGAAAAAAAGAGTGTGAGAAACTTGGTGCTTATATTATTAGCTTCCGCTTTATGTTGACAACATATGACGACATGTCAAAGGTCATGTTTGCTGTGAAATGATAGTGTGTGTGTTAATTTACAGCTGCATTGTAAAATGTACACGTTTGTATAACTGAACACACTTAAGTTCTCAGTTATTACAGCTGCAATTGTTTACAGATATGAAAACAGCTAATATAAAAACAATGCTGAACTTTAGTTCTACAGATTTAATTTCATGTTTAAACAAAATACAAAATAAAGTGCATAATTTAAAGTCTGGATTAGAAAAATAATTAAAAGACATTGTTTAATAGGCCACTAGTGTGTCAAACTCTGTGTTTAACTAAATATCTTTAAATGGTACATTCTTGAGGGGCGTAATTTATCAGCATTTATGTACACGAACAAGCTTGTCTAAAATTAACAGCAACAAGAGAAAGAAGAAAGGCAAGAATGTAATCCGGGACATTAAGCAACAAGCTGGAGCCGATTTAATAACAGGGAAAAGGAGGTAGACTGCTTTCAAGCTGCTGAAATTAAGACATAAAGCTCATTTGAGTGGAAAGGAGTTCAAAAGTTCAGTCTATTATGTAGTTTGATAAAGACAGCAGCTGAAGGTGTCAATTTAACATTATAAGGCATTAAAAGGGGAATTCTGCCACTGGAAAAAATGTGGCACAGAAAAGGAACCAAAAACTGACTTGAGGATAACATGAATCATCATTCCTTGTTTGACAAAATAAACTTTTTGAACATTTCATTTTAGGGATTAAGAATTATGTTACTTTAGATTTTTTTTGTCTAATTGATACTAGAGCCAAAACAATTAGTCGACTCCCGGCAATTAATTGTCGCTTTCAAGCAAAAATGCCAAACTAGCAATTCATGAGCATGAGTATTGATCAAATTAAATGTGTTATATATTTAATAAATGAGCACAAATACTTATTTTGGGTGGATAGTCCCTTAAGAGTTGATTTATTAACTAGAACCTTCTCTTAGAGAAGAATAATTTTATTACAAACAATATTTTACACAACATTGATCTCAAGCTGACAGGTGTGTTTAAATATCTTCATCCTAAAACTCCATATTAAGCAACATCTGTCCACTGCTTTACACCACACTTTCTGGAGCTGCGGAAAAAACATTCAACATTCCCAGTCAGATTTTAAATAGTTTGGTATTAATAACTATGGCACAGGAATATTTGTACCCTCATTGTAAAATGGAAAACAATTATTTGAGATGACATATTTGTGTGTATTCCAGGGCTGAGGAATAAAAACTTTGGTGTTCACCACATAATAATACTGCACTGTATTAGTCATGGAACTAACACAATATGTCCTTCAAAAAGCACTGCACAATAGAGTTTGTTAAACAAATCAATCCTTACAATGGCAGCACACATGCCAGTGATTACTCATACGGATCACATTCAATACTGTTTTCATTTACCATATTGACCACAAGTTTGTGACTCAATTATTCTAAACTACTGGCTTCATCTAGTTAACAGTAAAGATTTCCACAACGATTGAACAAAGTAGCTGAAATTAGCAAGGGTATCTTTTCCATCACTGACACTTGAGTCATGAAGAAGTGGGTCATCTCTGTTTGAACAACATCTGTTCCACGCAAAATGATAGAATCTGCTCAAACAGTCAGAGACAGTCATGACTTGAGGTAGCTGGGTGCTGAAACAGAGACCACAGGACGATAGAGCTCACAGCACTTCAAGTTTCTTTTTCTTTCTTGCTTCATGTGCCCGACTTGACATTTATTATTTTCATGTGCCTCCCCCCAAGTTCACTTTTGGAGAAGTCACGTCAGTAGACAATCTACCTCAGAGCGATCTGAGAACTGTCTCCTAATTTAGAGTTAACTCAGATGCATTTCTCCTCCACTGTCTCAGTGTTTAATGACACCTGAAGTGCTGGGTCTTTTGGGCATGGCAGGGCTGTAGGGTTCCTGATTGCATTTATTCCTTGTCTACTCTGAGCCTCAACGCTTCCCTGCTCAGATGAATAAGAAGCTTGCGAGTTTCTGACCGATGAAGGTTGTGAACCAGAGAGTCTGTCTGCTTTATAACAGCTTCCAGTGTACACCTCACTCCCCTCTGGCAGGTAGAGGAAGGTCTGGGAGCTGATGGTGATGTCTCGCAGGTCATGGGAAACCATAGAATTTGAGTCTCGCTTAGAGGTGACTGAGGAGAGTTGTTGAGCATCTATACAGTTGAAGTTTCCCTGTCTCTGCTGTCTCCGTGCTCCTATCTTGCAAAATAAGCACTTGATTTTCTCGATGAGCTTGAGGAGAACAGCCTTGCGGAGCAGGATGTAGATCCAGGGGTCAAGAATGGGGTTGAAGGAGGCGAAGCGTATCGCTCGTAGATCAGGGTTTTTGTCCAACCGTAGTTCCACTGGAGTCTTATAAAGCTGGTTCAAAAACACCTGAGCCTGCAAGGGAAGGAAGAATACAGGGTGAGTAGACAGACAATCAGAAAGACACTAATACAAATGTGGAGCACTGGAACAGCAGAGAAGAAAGAGCAGGGAAGGAAAAGTAATTGAATCCAAATAGACATATGTTTGAACTTTTGTTTCTGATCACCTTCTTGGATTCAAATCAAACTGCACGAACAAATTGTTCCATGAACAACAATGACATTTTTGCGTTAAAAAAAACGTGCGTAAAACGTGCGTAATTGATAGAATGAGCTAAGATGAGCGTATGAGAGTAGTGGCATGAAAAGGTATATAGTACTTAGTAGTATAGTACTATATCCACTTGTATTTGGATCAAAATGCGTTTGTGCGTAAAAGAGCCGTGCGTAAAACGTGCGTAAAAAGAGAAAAAACAACTTACAACAAGTGGTATGGAGCAGATAAGCACCACTGCCGATGTGCCTATGAGCAGAATGACCATCTGAATCTCTGCACCGGCCAGACGCCCAAAGCTGCGTCCTCTCCTCCGCGGGTCCACGTTGCGCCCCAGATCGGTTCCCAGAGACATCCTGCGTACGAAACGCCGGTGCATCCGAATCAAAGCCGCGCACACCAACACGTTACATATAACAGTGGCGAGGATAAGGAGAGAGCTGAACCCTGCATACATATAGGAGTAGGCGGCATCGCTGGTCTTGTTGCTCCTCCACTCTAAAAAACACCAAGTTTGCGGGTATTGTTTCTTCACCTGTCCAAAGCCGATAATCGGCAGAGCGCAGAAAAGCGCGTTGGAGATGTAGATCGCTAAGAGAGTCAAACCCGCCAGTTTTTGGTCCACATAGTCATTGTAGAAGTAGGCATGGTTTATAGCGATGTACCTCTCCACCGACATGGCACAGATGATACTGAGTCCCGCCAGAGAGAAGAAAAGCAGAGTGAATCCAAAGTACTGGCACAGCGGGTCCTCTCCGGGCCAGGATCCTTTCACATATGTGGCGATGGTGACCGGACTGGCTAGCAGCGTGCCCAGCAGGTCCGTGATTGCCAGTCCACACACCAGAGTGTAAAAGGTGGTCTCTTTCTGTTCTTTGCGAGATTTACAAAGAACCACGATGGCGATGACATTCCCAACCACCCCGAAAATGAACATAATAGACGGAATGGTCGGGACCATGGTCCTCCCTGTCATCGATTGATTATTCATTATGTCCTTCGAGCGCAGTTCAAGACGAGTGAAACAACTTTTCCTAACGCCAGTATTTCCAGTCCAGAGCAGGAAACTTATGTGCACTTATAAGCCCGCGCAACATAGTCAAAAAACAAAGAACAAATAACGTTTGCACCTTATCTTAAAACCAACTTCTTACAAAGAACGTCCATCCCCGCAGAGCATGTGGCTGCTGCTGTGTTTACCGAAGGTTCAGTGGTATTTTATTGTCAGATCCTCAGCTACCTTTGTAAGACAGAAGCAGATTTCACTCACCAGGACGGAGAGATAAAGGCAACCAACAGATACCAGTGACTTCATTGAAATAAGGCTCTGCCTTCAAGCTTCGTGCAAGGTTCAGTCCCTCCCCTTCATTTCACCTCACAGCCCTCATCAGCTGTTTAGTCTGGATCAGGAAAGACCTTGGACATATTTTGTAACACCACCAGACAGAGGTTAACCTAAACTCACAGCATATCTTGTACAACATGGTTAAATATTATGAAGTAAAAAAAACAACAACAACATGTGGGTTCAGTGTTGTGTTCACATTATACATTAATCCATATTTTTCATCTGTTACAAATCTTAAAAGTGCCACAAAACAAATGCAGAATAACTTAATAATATTAAGAATAATCTACAAAGTGCTTCATAGGGCAGACTGTAAAACCAGTTAAAGTAAAATAATAAAATGGATAGGTATACATGATGATGATATTAAAATATTATGTATATAAAAATCATTCCTGCATAATACTCCAACACCCAGAATAAGTTAAAGGTTAAGCTAAATTGATTTCCTGACAATCATCTCATAACAGGATTGATTCGGGTTAAAGACTTTTTTCCAATAATTATGGATAAAAACCAACAAAATGTCAAATAAATTGTTCCCAGGTTTAATGCTGGTCAGTTCACAAAATTTCATGCAGGTTTATTAATAAACCTGTCAGGTATCCTGCTGACAAAAAGTCTCAGTCAGTCTTAGTAAAAATTCATTGTCTTTGGAAAAATGAAAACCATTATTTGTTAATGCAGTATTGTATTTCTAAGAAAAAACCCATATGGTCGAAGAGATTGTTTATATCATCAGTTTGTTCTAAGAACATTTTATCAGGCCATTAATATTCAGACCTTTAACAAATTAAGTTTCAATCAAAAGATGCAGATGGCTACAGTATAATCTTATTTGTTCCCATCATTTATTGTTAAGCAAATAAACACGATGTCCTGCTGAGAAACAGTGACAACACCAGTGTCCCAGATGTGATGGCAGGTCTTGTGACTTAACTGCAAAACAAAACATATGATTATTCACTTTGTGTGGCTCTGTTTGTTTATAACTGCTGATCTCAGACATTTCTCTGTCCGGACTGTTGGACCTTAAGAAAAAAAACGAAGATGCTCAAATCTCCCACGTGTGGAATCCCACTGTCTGCTCATTTAAGAAACCCTTGGTGGACCAGAAACAGGAAGCCTTATCGGAAAAACAAAAAAAGAGTGAGAAACACAAGGAGGCCCTTCTTCTGCATCCCTCATAGAGCTGTAACTGTGGACTTTGGTTTGTCTGCTCGACATACTTGCTGTATTAATTACAGCAGAACAAAAAAAGAGAGGTATGTGGGGGAAATGAGGAGCAATACTAGCATGAAAAGGTGAGTAGGTTCAGTGGAGGGGACAAAGAGACGTGCCAATGAGTTAAACCTGTGCTTCAACATCCTCTACACCTCTTACTTCTGCTCCAACTTGGGAGCGTGCCACCTACAGAAGTTCTCAGATGATTCCTCCACTGTTGGCTGTAACACAGACGATAGGGAGGAGGAGTATAGAGACCTGATCGAGAACTTCATAGGATGGTGAGACAGCAACCACCCACAGCTCAACACGGGGAAAACCAAGGAGCTGGTGGTGGACTTCTGGTGCAGCAAGAGGCCCCCCTCCCCAGTTGTGATAAGGGGGGAGAAGGTAGAGATGGTGGACACCTACAAGTTCCTAGGGGTGCAGCTTAACAATAAACTGAACGGATAACACTGAGGCCCTCTACAGGAAAGGACAGTGCAGGCTGTTCTTTCTGAGGAGGCTCAGGTCTTTGTGCACTCGGCTACTACAGATGTTCTTCCAGTCTGTAGTGGCCAGTGTTATCTTCTTTGTTGTGGTGTACTGGGGAGGAGGCATCAAGACTTGTGGTGCCAACAAACTGAGCAAGCCGGTGAAGAAGGGCAGCTCGGTGGCGGGGATGGATTTGGGCAGTGTGGAGGCAGTGACTGAGATGGAAGCTGAAAGCCATCATGGACAACCCCTCTCATCCTCACTAGGCTGAGCTGAAGCAGCTCGGGAGTACCGTTGATTAACAACATTTCCTCATTATGTAAACGTAATTCTGTCAGTTGTTTCCCTCAAAACATGTTTTCTGTTGTGAATTAGTTATTAGTTATATAAACATAACTTCTCAAAGACAATGTTTGGCATCAAGAGAAATTAAGCCATTTTATTGCATTTCCAGAGTGAGGTGTGCTGCACACAATTCATGTATTTTATTTTATTTATTTTTTTACATCTGCTTGACGTCATTAAAAAAGAAAAAATCCTATTAAGTTGCCAAAAAGATTGCCCCACCTCAGGTCAGTTTGAATTTTCAAAAAAAGTAATGATTGATGACTCACTCAAGCCAGCTCTGCCATCAACACTACCATGCTCAGGTGGGTGGGGTTTAGGTGGTACTGGGGCACCCTTGTGTTGTTTTATTGTTTTTAACCCTGAGCTAACTGTGAGTTGCATAATATTTTTTTAACATTTTAATAACTTTAATAAGTTTCCTCCCCTTAGCTAGACTGTAAACTGCTGTCAAAGAACTTGTTGAACTCTGAGGAACAGAGACCCTGAGCCCCGCTGCCTGACGTCATCCCACTAGACTGACCCTGTGCTCATGGAAAACACACTTGTTGTTTTCTTTGTTGCCAATTTCTGGCATTTATTTAAACATAGAAAAGGGGGAAACCCGCTGTGATTATGGGCGTAGTATAGCCTTGAAAAAAATAATATTTTCTTAAGCATGCCATTCATACGTAGATCACATGTAACATTACTGGCCTTAACATGTCACTTCATTGAAAAACAGCTGTTATGTAATGTGTTTGTGGGTGTATGCCACCCTGAGTGTACATATAAAATATGATCTTCCTGTTTTGTGTTTCTGTACATGTCTGGTTTCAAGCCTCACAGAATGTTCTGTAAGTAGATTTAAAAAGATTAAGCTAGTCATGAATGTGCTTTTCCTGGATTTGTTTGTCAAGTCAGATAACCTGCAGTGTGGTCACACTGAAAGCTCAGAGTAATGACCACCAGCACGGCCGAAAGAATCAATTTTCCTGTATGTGTAACTCCAGCTTATGTTCTCTAGATAGACAATCACACGGCGGAGTGGGTCTTTCTGTTTGTACGTTTGTTATTTTGGCAGACTTTGTAGTTAAAAGAAAGCAAAGAAAAAACAACATCCCCAAAACAGCATTTCTTCCAGGGCTTTAATTCCTGTGCCAAACAATTACTACATTGTGTCTTGGAAAGGATTTGTTCTTGTCTCTGTTGACTTCTATATGCTCAAAGTAGTGCCAGTTGGTGGAAAACACTCCATAATTGTTTTCCTGTGATTGGATTTGACTTTGTTTCTTAGAACAAGAGGGACAATTATGCTAAGGAAGAAAAACTAAAAATGCAATTACAGGTGTGTGGTGCACTGTATTTGCCACAGTATTAAGGTGGAGCTCTGGATGATTTCCCTTGCAACAAAGCCTCTGTGTTTTGGTTTTAATGCTAGGGTTGTGCCTATGATTTATCGCCAAAGATTACAGTTCGCCACAGGCCTTTTTGTTTAGAAACAAGAACAAGAGCTACTTGTAGAGTAAAACATGATCCCTGTGGACAAGTACAGACACATTTGGTAGCTTGTGGGATGGGTCAAAGAAAACTGTCTTCATTCCAGACCTAATTCTGCAGGATGCAGGCGGAGATGCACACCTACACCTTTTGTAACTGACAAAACGGACTTTATACAAGCACAGTTTACATTTTTGTCAATGAACTGACAATGATAAACAGCTTCAAGCTAGTCGACAAAACAGTCTCGCCATAAGGTCCATTAAGAAGCTGTCAGGAGCTTTGGATAATATCACACAATCGGTCTCAGCAGATGGAGCTTGCTCAGTTTTAATAGAGTTATTGATGTTAAAATGTTTGTTTTTCTGAGCTCTTTCTTTAACATGTTGGCTTAAAGGACCAGTGTGTAGGATTAAGTGGCATCTAGTAGTTAAGTTGCAGATTTCAACCATAAGTGCAGTTTTCTGAGAGTGTAGGAGAGACTATAGTGGCGGCAAAACCTCCAAAAAAACATGAAAGGCCCTATCTCCGCCCGGCGCTCCCTCTGTAGATAAAAACGGCTCATTCTAAGGTAACGGAAACACAATTCTTATATCCAGGTGATTATACACTAATGAAAATATACCTATGAATATTATATATCCCACATATTTCCAACAGATCTTCCTAAATATTACACTAACATTTTGAAAAATACACTTAATCAATCTCTTGCAGAGAGTTAGATAAGAAGATTGATATCACTCATGTCTGTAAGGTCAATATGTAGCTGGAGCCAGCAGTTAGTTAGTTTAGCTTAGCATAAAGACTGGAAACAGCCTGGCTCTGTACAAAGGTAACATCCACCTACCGGCTCCTCTAAAGCTCACTAATAAACATGTTATATCTTGTGTGTTTAATCTGTACAAAAACCTAAATCTTGCCGGGAGCTCTTGCCAGACAAGTGGTGTAGACTTAAGGAAGTTGTTGGTCCAGTCTTTATGCTAAGCTAAGCTTCACATTTACAGACAGTGGTGTCAATATTGCTCTAACTCTGGGCATAAAGGAAAGAAGCATATTTGCCAAGATGTCAAACTAAGCCCAAGGTTGGGCTGAGTTGTTTCCAAAGTCAGAAATGAACATTGAATGTAAGGCTTCAAGCTGTTTTTAGTATAAATTTCAGTATAAATGGTAAAGTATAAGAGATCCTAGTGAATGGGTCAAAATATGCAAAAAACATTGGTATAACACATGGGTCTGGTCATTTGAGGTTGTTGATTTGTGAGTAAATGACAAAAGCATTTGTTTTCATGACCTTTGATCATCAAACCTGATAAAAAGTTTATCTATATTGCTATTTCAGGCATTAAACTTTTAGATTAGATGAAAATAGAACAGTTCATAGTTACTTTATATCAGACTAACTACATCAACTGAGTCACCCTGCTTGACTTTAGTCCGGGATGCCCAACTTGTTTAA